TACGACATCTTAAACAACATGGTTAAAAACGCTCATTTATTTCTAAACAACCTAAGAATAGGTCCAGGCTCTCAGGAAGGCGAAGCCACCAAAACTTCAGTCGTCAAATGACAATGACAATATTTCAAAATTCGACTTTCCTTTAACATCGGCATGATTAATCAACGTGCATTTAAATTGTTGAGGTTACACGAGGTTGTTAAATAACTTTTATTCGTCTGACGTTTCAACGTCTTCATCTTCATCAGAACCAATAGTCCCAATCGATTGTCCACAATTGTTCGTCTTCTCGATGTGGCATGTTCACCTTCGTATAGTGTCGGATCTACCTCAGTGGACTACCTCTCGAATAATGCGCACTTACCCAGAGACAACCTTTTATACAAGATGCTGGTTGTTGATAACAGTGATTGTCCAGTGATAACAACTTGTTTCGCCCGGACAAACCATTCCGCAGAAGTCGGTACTGTTATCAGCTAGCACAGCGTAACATTAATATTACAAAAATATGTGTTGTGATTAATCAAAATTTGTTTAAATTGTTGAGCTCATACGAGCTTGTTACATAAATTTCAACAACAATAGCAGCCAGAACATCTATAGGAACCTCGCGTCAGCTAAACAAGGGCAGTTTGTAAGAACATATAATTGCTACTTGATAGTTGAACGGCCGTCCTCACTGGTTGTGCGGGCCCCAGCATAATCTCCATTTTTCGGAGATTTACTGGTTAAGCCATTGTGGTTCCCTGGAATCACAAGGTCAGCCTGGCCAAAGTCTGTACAAGTCGTCACCACGACAAGCAGTCGCAGCCATTGTGGTTCAGAAGGAGATTTGCCATTATGCGAATAGTTTCATATCAAGACTGTGGTGGATCCTGGTACTGGTTTACTCTTAGCTAGGGTTCTTGATGGAAACGCTGCTCAGTTTGGAAGACTGCCAGGGGATGAATCACCCCGCTGAACAACGCGGTCCGACACCCAGGAATACCTCTCAGCCACGATGAGGCGGTAAACCACGGAACGTAAGAACATATATATCTATGTATATGCATATATATATATATATATGTATACATACATATATATATGCATATACATAGATATATATTGATTATAAACCGCTGAGACGTAAGAATATATATATATATATTGATTACTTATGCCAAGGTTCATAGGAAGTCGATCTTTCGTGTTGCAACTACTATCCTTTATGGTACTGTCGATGTAACGAATTGGAATGGTATACTTTCGTCATCCTCAAGACCTTTACGATAGACGTAAGATATGTTTCGTGATGCAAACAATTCAAACACCAGTTATAACCACAATTATACCGAGATCTGAGCAAACATAGAACCCTACGTGAGCCTGGAATTCGTGATAATTCTTTCCGGTGCTCACGTGTTACGTGGTGCACCATCAAGGCCCTTGCCTTGTCCTTCTCTCAGCCAGTGAAATAATTTTCACACTTAATTATTGGTTCAATTAATTCATGACAATAAACAATACATTTTTGCTACATTTGGCAAAAGAAGAAAAACGAACTTCGAGCAATTTGACTTAAACAACTCCTGAATAGCACAAGACTTGAACTACAAGTCCAACAGGATTTATTATATCTGCAGTAGTTGTTAGACACATGAGATGATGTGATGGTAAAGAATTAAGCCAATTCAGAAGATTGCAGAAGAACAGCTAGAGCCACGGTTAACTCACTAGAAAACCGAACTTTGCTGGACAAAAAAAAAACTGAAGTAACAGATCGAATGCTAAGTGAGACGAAAAGCGTGAAAGACATTCAATAAAAATTTGAAGGCGCTTCGAAAACATCGCTGGAAGCTGCGTGAACCAAGAAATTATCGAGGGTTTGATGTAGTCAAACATGGGTTTAAACTTACGATTCCAAACCGAAAAAAATTGAAGAATGCAAAACCTACATCAAAAACTTGGGTTGGGGTTGGTCGTTAAAATAATTAGCCCAAGAGTTGTTTTCTCAGTCAAAAGCTTTGCTGTGTTAAGTCCATAGAGCACGAAATATTGTCAGAACATTTCCGAAGGAAGGTAATGTACTAACCACGTTTGCTCCCAATATTTGTAATTACGCCTATTCAATGGAACACTTATCCTACTGCATGGTTTGGTTTATGAAAGAATACAACCAAAGGTCAGACTAAAATTACTTCAAATACTGGCTCTAAAAGGTCAGCAATTTTATGAGACACAATGATACAAAAGCCTAAAGTTTGAGTAGAACGCAGTGAGGGGTCAGTTTATTTGCTTCATGGTCACACAATGAAAAAGGCGAGATGACAGTGTCCAAAGTTGGCGAAAGGTGGAATAAGAAAGAATCCTTACGACACACAAGCCTACGCTGATATTTATTGGTCATTTCACGTCTAGCAATCATGTTTAAAAAATAAAGGGTTGCTTTACTGTCGTCTCATGCAAAGTAATTAATAGAATACACTATAGAAAATTGTACGCTTGGAAAACGGCGTCGAAAACTCAAAACGTTTCAAGCTATCCGTCATATCAAACGAAAAATAATACGCCATTACGAGGTGCCTAACAAAAAGTGGTCTTGAAAATACGACGACCGACGACCCGCGACCGCACGTTCAACAGTAATGAGTCTTAAGCGTTACTTGACTATCATCCAGGACTCCGATTCACATATTTAGGCAGGAAGTATTGCAGAGTCGAAAAGGTGAACAGGTGAGCAAACGGATTCGAGTATTTTCTATCCTGATCATTAAATCCATTATACTCTTGAGAGATGCTCGAGGCGCCCGCTTCTTCCCACTCATCTAGGTCATTCATCATGCCGATATCTCGACTCAAATACACAGAGCTGTGACATTCCAAAGTACCCATTCCGATATGCTTGAATGAGGCATAAGAAAACAAGCAGATTTTACATGAAGATCGTCTTCTTAGGTCGAACACCGATCTTTCAAAATGAGCTATCGATGCAGAAATATGTAAATTCTGATGAAAAAGAAAGCAAATGGCCCATAGTTTAACATGCGTATGGATTTGATCGGCATGAAAATTTCGATCAACGTTGAGAATAAGAATGATTTAGTTCGTACCACCATCTCTCCTCAAATCGTCTGTGGCCTGGAAGTCCAGCTGCAAATTTAAAGCCGAAAATTCATCACTCTCAAATGACACCCTAGAAGTGAAACAGCTTCTCATTTCTGACCGCTATCATACCTATGAGCACATTCTACTCCACAACAGATTCCAATTAGCTAACCATTTTCGCGCCAAAAAGAGTTGAAATGAGTTATCGGAGAAAAAACACTATGCTCTTGGCAGTCCATAAGCGACCATGGCCCATCTGGCAGCCATGGTGTGCTACATATATAGGTGGAAAAGATCTTGCTGGTTCTCGCTTGAATTGCCCAAAGATTAACGGGGTTACTAAAAGCACAGATGAACATCTGGTCGTCTTTTATCAATAGCGATCACTAAATGTGTCGTAGTAGACGGTGTTTGTCATTCTATTCGGTACTATAGGGTAAAATTCTTATTCAAAACGCTTTCAAAGCTTATAATAACCTGTTCGATAGAAGATCACTGAATGACGATGTCGTGAATTAAGGGAGCTTAAACGTTTGTCGATCCTCAGAAATACAGTAAATTTGAAAAAGTTTCAATGGATTCAAAAGTGACTTAACGTCCCAGTGTTCGCATTCTGCTAGCACAAGGCATAGAGTCATTCAGCTACTCATTATCGTTTCCACCCCAGCAGTTGTTGTCACAGTAATCCGGCAATATTTTACTACAATCGTGCTTTGATAAAAAAAAGTGTGGTAAAAAAGAATAAGTGAATTCATACACATTGAGCACGAACTCCCTTACAACGTACGACTCGCTGGAAACGGGCTTTCACAATTGCGTTATGGCCTACTAAAGTACCAGTAGTGAAATGAACAAAACATAAAACATCCCATACCTAGACCGCAGCAGAATGTCAGACAAACGCTAACGTAGTGTGAAACATAACTGGCGATGGTGCGTTTCTTCGACTCAGCTAACTACGTGGGTACCTAAAAACAAAGAGAAAAATTCGACATAGAAAGAAAAAAAGAATCAACGATGTATACGGTATAATCATATCGATTATTGGTCCAACTCACAATAAAGCGGCTAGGAGTTTTGACGACAGAGGTAATGCCTATCTCAGCAATGTTACAGTAACATTTTTGCAAGTGGAAAGACCAGAACGCAATTCAATTTAACCCAGTCTTCAGAAAAGGAAACAAAACTAAAAAGAAAAACAACGGCCAAGCAATACCTAACGCTCTACATTCTCTTTTCCATATGTTAACTCAGAACACCTATTGTAGAATATGTTGATTGATCAGCGACGGAAGCTCAGATTAAAACTGCCGGTATCGTATGAATACAGTGAAGCTTTCAATAGCGTAGTCCAAAGCCCATGATGGTACAGGATGGCATGCAGTCGTAAACATCAACTAACGCACAGCTAACGGTTGATTTACCAGCGATACTTGTTGACCCTCAGCGTGCATAGTTGACCATGGTATCAACTATTAGTAATTCACAGGAGCGACTTTTTTAACATCGAAACTGTAGCATAAATCAGTGTTTTCTCCTTGAACAGACACAAGCTTGTGAATAACAAAATTGATTCAATACTGGTTGAGGCTTCGGTTATTTCATCTACTTCGTAGCCCTTTTGTTCCATGTAAATCTTCCAGTTTACTGATGAAGACTAACCGCAAGAAGTCTTACATAGGTGAGGAATGTCTTTGCATCATATCACTCCTTTGATAAGAGCTGTAAAAGATGACAAGGTGAAAGAATTGCTGCATCACAATGACCAGTAACTCACATTGGAGTAGACATGAGCTAATGATGTTTATGAAGTCTGACACAAGCGTCTAAAACGAATCGAGAACAGAGTTTAACGCTTAATCACAATTCATGGTATTGGGCAGAAAGCCAAATGGCCAAACAACATGCATCAATCACTGACGAATTGATTCACGATCATCATCACCATCATCACCATCATCACCATCATCATCATCATCATCATCATCATCATCATCATCATCATCATCATCATCATCATCACCATCATCTATAAACATCCTGGCGTTTCGAAAACGTTTATGAAGCGTTAGCGGCCAGACAAACAATTATTTCCAGGATTTAAGTACTTCTAGGGTACAATTTAACGTCTAAAAAGCTTCCAAACACCACCTTCCGAGCATATTCAGACGGAAAATGCAGTAAATGCACAACACGAATTCTTTCGACAAGTTTTAAATAACCCTTTGGCTTAAAGGTACAGTAGTAAAAAAAAAATATAACACTATTAAATGATGGGAAATTCCTGACCTGTGCACTAATTTTTTTCTCATTATCCACCTTCAAATATCAACTAGCAAATTGAAAAGAGTCAGTGAATGTACAGATATTAAGAATTATTCCTAGCTGCTTGGACGAAAATGCTGACGTTTCAGCTATTTACCGGATTAAGAAAAAAACAGATTAGGTACATAGAAATTTGAGCAAGGGAAAAAGAACAAATCGCAACTGGAAAGTGTTCATGTCGAAATTTCAGAGAAAAGATTGAGCTTTCCAATTGTGCTTGGAATACTAGACGTACTTCAGCATTTCCTTGAACACAGCGATATAAATGGGTCCCACAACTACATAGTACGGGAGTATTCCATAGTATTCCAAGGAAAGCTTAAGGATTTTCTAAAGGACTAATAACTCCATTGCTGTGTTAGATTGTGATCGGTCGAATTTACAGATGACAACAGTATTCAAAGAGTAAACACGGTTATTAGCGAGGAGTGACCTAGGTTTCTTCTCAATACATCTAGTGGTTGGGGCGATCGATAAGGGAAAAGTTTGCGAAAAGCTAAGACACCGGGTAATGAAATGACGTCATCAAAGAAGAGTGCTTTTGGTGTAAAAATGAGCATCTGCTCATTAGCATCGGGACCCAGCCCGTATTGCTCGATGATCCAGAAGACTAGCAGCAAACTAGCACTAGATGGAAAGTCAGTCATGACACTAGAACCCATAAGAAAAATTCAGAAAAAATGCGTACAATGGAATTAAGTAATTTTCGAAGTAATTTTAAATTGCTATGACACAGTAGGAGATTAGTTCCGGAAAAAGTGGTAACAGAAAAAAGAGAAATTAAAACAGTTTTTGAAAACTGGACAGAGAGAATCTACGTCAAGAATTCAGCAAAAGATACTTCGGTTAGACAGAAGAAAGTAAATAGAACAAGCAGTGATTAGAAGAAAGTATGCTAGATGCCGAATGAGCATCTATCCCCCTTGACCTTATACAGAATGAAACATCCTCATGAGTTGATCGAGTATTTGATTAAAAGTGAAGTAATGTGACAAACTAAGTCGACATCAAGTCGCTGATTATCTCTCAAGACAGCGAAATTCCTTTTAAACATAGTACGTCGATGAAGACAAGGAGACAAGACAAGACAAGAAAGACATATAAGACAGGAGACAGACAGAGACATAAGAAAAGAAACGAAGAACCTGGCAGAGAAAACGTAGAGTAAGAGGAGAAAAGAAAAAGGAAAGAAGAATTTGAAGAAATTTATCCCAAAGGACAAGTACGATTTCATTACATATTGATTCCCTAGGAAATATTTCATCGTTTTCTCGAGGCAAAGCTGCAAGAAACAATAAAACTACAGCCCAAACCTAAAAAGTGAATGGAGTTTAAATGGGCAGACCACAGAATAAGCGCACTCAAAATCTGAACGCCATTGAATAAAGAGGAAACGGTAACAAAAAGAAAAAGGAATGGTAGGCGAAAAACCGAGATGATAACTGGATTCTTCAACAAATTTGCTACCAATACTATGAGAGCTTAGATTCAATTCACATAAATCTCTTGGCACTACTGACTTGCACAAAATCGGGTAAAGTTTCCTACACCTACGAATTGAACTCGAGTGGTCAATAAAATTCGATTAAACAATAAGTACATTTCTTCCTTCCTTTCTTTCTCTCCTTCTTTCTCTCTTTCTCTCTTTCTCTCTTTCTTTCTTTCTTTCCTTCTTTTTTTCTTTCCTTCCTTTTTTCTCTTTCTTTCCACGCAGAGCAATAACACTAGAAAGATCGATGCTAGGCTGTATCCTAACATTATCAGTTTTAACTTAGAAAGAGACGACATTTGAAGAGGCAACAAATAATGATGCGGGGTTTGCTAGCAGTATGTGAAAACACTTCACCGTTTGCTTCTCTGATTCAAACAGTCAATACAGTCAATTTCAATCCTTCTCGATGCATCTGAGGATCGATGTCCTCAATCCCATAAAACAATTGAGACGTAAGCTTCGTTTAATCGCTAAGCGATGGAAACTCCTATGAATCTATACAGAAAAATAGTTCAGTTCTGCAAGAAAAGAACGTCGTAAGTCATAGCTTTAAAAAATCAAGGAATCTAGTTGCATTTGAGTAAAGAATTTCGTCCAGTCTTTTCACTGAGAGGTTCTAAGACATTGAGGAAATTCAGTTAAAAAACACATTTAATAGACTAAAAAGAAAACCACCACTTATATCAATGCGAATAGCACTGATAATCGAATAAATCTAGCCGGTAAGAATTCATTCTCCGTTCTCCATGCTACGCTTCAAAGCTATCTGACGGACTTCGTTCATTCGAGAGCAGCACCACATTTTTCATAGGTAGCCCATTATTTTCGCGGTTCTAGCGTCACGGTTCTAGCGAACTTGTAACCATGACCAGCTTTTGGGGATATTCCTTGCATGAATTTGCTCACAATTAAAGTTTCGAACGGAAATATCGAACTCCTTTTCAGCTAAGAATATCTTAAGGTGCGAAATGAACGCCCGATCTACATCGTAGTTCGATATCCAGAAACACACCAGCTCAATCTCAGTGAATCCTTGAAAGAATCAAGAGACTCTAAAATTTTAGTTAAATATTTCTTCCTCAAGTAATTCTTCGTATTTTTGTTGAGCAAACGCGAGGTGTTATTATTCTTTATTCACCAATAAGCGAAATGAAAGGAAGGAAGAGGAAGAAAGGCGAAATCCGCCGAAACGTCAGCTTAATCGTGAACAAAGAATAATAACACCTCGCGTTTGCTCAACAAAAATACGAAGAATTACTTGATCAACGCCGAGGTTAATAGAAAGTCGGTCGTGGGAATTTCTTCCTCACTTCTCTAATAAATAGAGGTTACCCAAATTAAAATCATAGCTTTTTAACCAGAGAATTGAACGTTATGAAAATGATGTATACATGACTTAAAGTTCCCAGCATTTCTTTCATTTTTTGTTTCGTTTCCTTTCAATTATCTTCCGCAGGAATGATTTACGTGAAACATTACGGTAGGAATATTTTCGTACAAGGAAGTAAAAGAAAGTAAAACATCAATGATAACTGCTGGGAAGATAAAAGCAGTGATTTTAGGAGATTACGAGGGTTTAGGAGATTACCTAGTGATGTTTCCTATGGAATTTTGGGAAACAAAAAAAAAAACTCCTTGGAGAACACTCTTACTACATTTGCTCTCACTGAAATCCATATATGCTAATATCGATTAAAGAACAAATTTTGCTATAGGATAAACCTCGGTTAAGACCTCCTCGATTGTGAAGGGATTGCTGACTCCACCTCCACCTTTACCTCTAGAAGGATTAGTGGCCCACGTCTATTTTTGGATACATCGATGTAATAATACATCAGCCATAAGCTATAGCCTCCTCTAACGTGAAAACATTATTTATTCATGTTTATAAGGACTATATGCAAAGATTTCGAAGTAACGAAGAAAATATGTAAGTAATATACGTTAGAACGAATCTGGTAAACCTTCGTTAGAATTTGATGTTTGTAAAGTAGCTTTGTTAACCAGATAGTATTTGTAGTGTGTGGCAGTCAGACCAATTCGTCACCTATCAACCAGTTCATTAACGATTTCAACCCAACCACGTCATGAAAACCTTTCAAAAAAAGAAGCAAACAAAGGTCGCAAGCCTTTTTTTTAAAAGTTAAGAGTATAACTAGTTTGATCGACAAACACAACTACCACCTCGACTTATAGTCAAACGGATTTTTTTTTCTCACCTGTCAGAGATAATCCACCAAAATGTCGCCTATATGTCAATAAGCTTAATGGCTTTTCGCAAAGACTTCTTGTTTCATTTGTCTTTCCCCACTATTTTACATATCTTGATGTCATCTGCATATAATTTCCGACTCCTTCTAATCGTTCTGTAAGAAATGAGTACTCCAAAGTGCTTGTTAATAATACTAACGGTACCAGCATCCACTGTGAAGTATGAATTAAATGTCTACTCGTTGCGTTTAGAAGTTTCGAATCCATGACAGAGGGCCAAGACTTATTTTCACCAAAGTTAGTTGTTTCCCACTTCCATTAGTATGCCAACAAACTCTTCAAGAATGGATTACAACAACTGATTGATTTACCCCGTTGATTTCCTTAAACAGTTCATCGAAGACAGTTACGTCTTTCACCTCTGATCCCATAAAACCAGGACAACACCTATCTATTATGATCAATTCTTCAAATTACTTAATTATCCACCGATGCTGGTTGTATTAAACATTACGGAAAAACCGATATCATATCAGTTGGATGAGAAGTGAAAAAATCTGAATCTAGTAGGAGTCAAGCTAACCTAGAAGACAACTACTGAAGTTCAAGAAACACGTGTTAAACACGTCCGCATAAGCGGACGTACGCTCATAATAACTCTTACTTGGATACTTGGATGGCCCGTTTTCACTGGTTGTGAGGACATAAGCATAACTTTTACTTTTTCGAAGCTTTACTGGTTTAGTTATCGTGGTTTCCTGGACCTCCCAGGTCAGCGTAGCCAAAGTCTGCCACAGGTTGTCACCACCACAGGCAGACGCCAACCTTTTGAATCAGAGGAGATTTGTCACCATGCGACTAGTTTGATCCCAGAAAGGTGGTGGATCCTAGAAATGGTTTATTCTTTGCTTCCTAAAGGAAACGCCGGATTCCTCAGCTTGGAAAACCCTGGTGGGGGATGAATCCCACCGGTGTACACTGCAGCCCGACACCCAGGAACACGTCCTAGCCACGATGAGGTGATAAACCGTTAGGATGCACAGCAGTGCTACTATGTCAAAAGTCGAAGTCTTTTCTTAACATTAACTGCACTAAAAACTAATAAGTGGTGAAAAAGTAACTGAGAAGTAGTGAAATGCCGTAATTCACAGATTGTTGTGAAAGGAATTGATACGATGTACGATATGACCGAGCAGATTCGAGAAGAAAGAGAAAAAGGATGAAGAGAAGAGCTAGAAGAAGCTAAGATAAGAATATTTAATGAAATACAGACTGAATGAACTTAATAGTTACACCTCACTCAATGTCGGATGCGATGCTGTTTCACCCTACGGAAAAATTGTTCCCACGTTGATTTTTGGACCAACTATTATTTTAACTGCTTACGCAAAGAAATAAAATAATGTTGAATAATTAACTTAAGCATCTATAGGTGCATTTTTTCACATCGAATCCCGATTCCAGGCACATAAAAAATTCAGAGGCGGATAGCACAATGATAGTGATGTCCGTCATCCCGACCGTGCTGCAAGTTCGATTTCGCTTCGAGCCAACCAAGCCCCTCATTCCTGCAGGGTCGGGAAATTGGTACCAAACTTGTCTGGGAAAAAAATCACTTTCTGAAATACCTGGGAAAGCTCCAGCCCGGTTATCTCAGGACTCCAGGCAGAAACGATTCGACCAGTATTCCCCGGCATTCGAGATGAAGTGAAAATCTTCGAACAGCAACCGAACCCACACGTAAAAGAAGATCTTCGTGGACAGTGGAAGTGAGGAAACAAACAGAATGTGATAGATGCTGGGATCCGCAAAGAAGACGTGACAACGGGTCATACGAAGTAAAATAAAATGAAAAAATATGAACAAATTCAGTAATATAAAGTAGTCATCACTCTTAAACCTTGCTCCAAATCCAAATCAAAGTGCTCCATGAAAAATATTCAT